AAAATCTCTCTTTAAAAAAAAAGATTTGTATTGTTTGACTGAAAAAAACTCACTTTGATCATAATTTATGAGGAGGTGGCAGGATGCACTTTAAAATCTGGCTGAACTGAGTTTTTAACCTATCAATGTGTCATTTAGACCATGATTAATAAGACTAAGAAATAATTACAGCAGTTAGGTGATGTTTATTCAGATGCAGCCTGTGGGTTCACCTTTGAACCCACATAGGATGACATTGTTCACTCTCACAAGGCACTGACATACATTTGGCTTAGTTAAGGGAAAGCAAGATTAAATTTGAAAACTTGATTTTCTGGATATCTTCTGGCCTTGATAATTGCTCAACACGGGGTTAGGCTTACAGGAAACATATTGCTGATTTCTGTTGAAGCTGTCCGTTAAATATGGTGTCTGCTTCAATATCGTCATTGGGACCCAATACGAGGTTATTAAAAAGACACTGCCAGCTTTGGACAGATATCCGTGCCAAACACTCTGGTATTGAGAGAAATTCAGAATCAATTGGCTCTCCAGTGTGTGTAAATACTTTGGGCATTTTAAGTGCCCACTTCCCTGACCTTGGCAAGGCAGACAGGGATGTAGAGCTAAAATCATTCACAAAGATTGATATTTATTTTCTTCTCACTTCTCTCTTTCCCATAAGCATTGATTCATCGGCACGGACTAATATATATTACCTCAAACAGATAGCCATAGTCCGGTGTGTGTGAACCTACACAGCAGATGTTAGCCTAATGTGTGACACCTCAACTAACTTCAATCTTATTCTGCCATGATATCCATCAGTATGCATTTTCATCAGGATTCATTGCCATCAAGAATCATAGAATCCCTACAATGTGGAAGCAGGCCATTTGGCCCATCGAGTTCATACCAACTCTCTGAAGAGCATCCCACCCAGACCCACCCCCTATCCTTCTAACCCTGCATCCCCCATGGCAAATCCACCTAATCTGCGCATTTTTAGACTGTGGGTGGAAACCGGAGCACCCAGAGGAAACCCACACAGAATATGTAAACTCCACAGATTCGCCTGAACGTGGAATCCAACCAGGGTCCTTGGTACTGTGAGGCAGCAATGCTAACCACTGAGCCACTGATTAAGGAATCCTTAACCAACATCACCTCACTCAGGAATACTGAGGTCAATTGTGAAGTCACAGATTCTGCTCTGATTTCATGCAATTTTCACGCAGGAACAGAAGTTGGCTGCATGACCCAATTCCACACAATGCAGCAATCATGCTAACTCAGCTGTAAGTTAAACCTATACAAATTGTGAACATTTTTGTTCTCTGGTGTCATGCATGGGCATGAGAGAGCACAGGCCCATTTCATGCTGGTCTTATTGCATTTATTATTGCAGAGAGATGAGACTCATCAGTCTGAGCTGAATTCTAACCATGCTCCCATGGAGACAAGCATTTTATCTCCTTGTATCATCTAGTTCTCTATTTAGCTTAACTGCTTCAGTTGCGCATTACCGCTAAATTCCAAATGTTCTCTTCCTAATAGTTGAAGTCTCAGGCAAGTACCTTTTCAATGGCAATAAAAAGAAGAATGATTAATCAATCGTGCTTTTATAAATACACATAGTAATACAATTACATTTCAGAATAAAGAGGTCCTGTGACAAATTTCTCTATTACAAAGCTACCATGTTAAATACCTAGCAAAGATTATGTCTTAAACAGAATACAGTAAACTGTGAATATTTCGCATGATCCCATTTTTGTACAGAACTCACTGTACAAATAAATGAATGCTGGCTCAAAATACCTGCAAAATCTGACCTGCTAATAGGATCTCAGATAGGTGACAATACACACTTTCCTAAATATTTAACATTGCGTAAACTTTCAACTAGAAAATAGGGGTGAAACTTTCAGATACAAGCCCCTGATGTGACTATGTATACTGGGCAAAGGAAACTATGTTGTGTAGTTTATAATATTGAAAAAAAAATCATTAATTTGGCAAATATTGGAACGAAGCCCTTCTTTAAGCTGTGTGTAAAACTGAAAGATGGCGTAGCACCGGGACAAGTTATGGAACAAATTTTCACCACCAACGTTCAGCATCTGTTGCACTGATCATGAATCATCTAACCATTAAGAGCAGTTCAAAGTTGCATTTCCCTAAAGTATCTGTAAATGGTTTCCAGGAGTTTGTGAAGGCTTCGTTTAATTATAAAGTTATAGTCATACAGCACAGAGGGAAGTAATCTGGCCCAATGTTCCTGCTTTGGCTCTGTCAAAGAGTTCTCTAATTAGACCCACTCCCTGTCCTTTCTGGTCATCTGTATATTTTTCCTTTTCAGAGTTACTATTGAATCTGATGTCAGGCAGTGCATTCTAGATCATAACAATTCATTGTGTAAAATAAATTCTTGTCATCTCCCCTCTGATTCTCTCACCATCATTATGAAATGGTGTTATCTTTATACTACTTGAATATGCTTTCCTATAAAGCTAAGCTATTTTGGAGCTTAGTTCTGTATTTGGATTTGAGCCTTGACTACTTGGAGAAAAAGTATTAAGAACTTGCCATGAGTAGCATAGCAACACCACTACTCATCAGGAGCTAAATCAAAAGTTAAATGGATTTTACTTGGCAACTTAAAGAACTGGCAATCACAAACTGTGGTTTGGAAACAATAGTCCATTGGTTCATTCTTTGAGCTCCTTAAAGAACAGAATATAATCCAACACAGATCAATCAAACCGTTGAGCATTACACCCACCTTCTCGACTTATATCATATGCATCACATTCCATTTTCTCCCTGAGGAAATTTTAGGGCATGGACAACAGATACTGAAAGAAATGACCTAAAGGTGGTTATCAGATCATGTAATCTTACAGCTGGAGCATCAATACAATTGGCTGGAAAAAACCAAAAGAACTGCAGATGCTGTAAATCAAGAACAAAAACAAAGTTGCTGGAAAAGCTCAGCAGGTTTGGCAGTATCTCGGGAGCTGCCAGACTTGCTGAGCTTTTCCAGCAACTTTGTTTTTGTTCTTGAATACAATTGGCTAGATTGCATTTCAGAATAATGCTGGCAACATGGGGTTGAATTCAAGTCCAACTGAGATATACTTGGGTCCTGCCTCCTCACTGTTTCCAGTGAATCTAGGCATAATCAGATAATTGAGATGCTATGAAGATGATTTTTATATCCAGAACAGGATAGTTGTTGATGACTGGGTTGTTAAATATTTGAAACTCTAAATTTACAACATTCCCAATTCTGCTCGGAAGAATCTCCTGGTATGGGCTGCCAGCTATGTTAGGGCACAAGCCAATATTCAACAGATGAGAAAAGGCCAACCAGTGATTAACTGTCTAATGGAGGTTCTTTAGGTTTTAAATGAATTAAAGACTTCATGGTCATGGAGGTTTGCAACCAAATGAACCTTCGTAGCAGATTTTGGAATCAAATACTTTTTATAATTGACCTGCCTGCTCATTTCACTAATGAAACCTGGAAGACTGGGTGGTAGGCTAGTTACTTATTACCAGAGATTGGAATGCTTCCCATTCAGTTCCAAATTTGTACTGAAGTATGTACAGTATTGTGGTTCCTGCTGTAGAGACAGCAGAATATCTATCAGTGCTTTGTTTGGCATGACATGCCTATTTACATGTTAAATTAGCTAAAATTTGGCTCCGCCAATCATTCCCCAGGACTGTCAACAACTGGAGTGTGATGCTGCAAGGAGAGTTTCTACATTTATGTTGGGGAAGCAGAAACCCCGCTTGTTTGGATTTTTCACTTGAAAGGTTTAGAGAGTCTAATACCTGGTCGCATGCCTAGGTGATTAACAAAAAAAAATTAGCTAAGCCTCAGGCAATAATAAATCCAAATTATGCATACGTTTTAGTGTTGCAGATTATCTTGGCCTAAAGGAAGCCAAGTGTGACAGCAGAAATGTCCTTGCGCCTATTCTGGACCAAATGGAACTCTGCCATGTTTCAATATCATAATTTCAAATTTAAAGCCTCATTAAAATATGACTAAATTTGGCTTTTCTTGTTGAGGGTGGAGCTGAGGGAATAAAAGAATTTTGTTTTATTTTCACTCAATTTAAAACAGCAATTCTTAATTATTCACACATGTATACCGAAATAAAGATTCCACTGACATTTTCCTAAGTATCACACTTGCAATTATTCATTCATTCCCTTGTCCATTCATTCATTTTTCAGCATTTTTCTTCTGTATTTGCTATTTATCCACATCCGCCATCTCCTTTATCACAGCACATTCTTTTAACCAAGCATAATTTATTTTCTTTTAGAAACTAGTTGTTATCTAAATTATGTAAATTAGTTTCCTTGCCTTTTGCACGTATTCTTGAACATCATCAAGGTATTGCGATCAATGATATAGTTGACTGTAACGATTTAACCTATTAATATCTTCAGAAATAATTTTTGCCACTTTGTTACAATAGAAATATATTACAGTTGGAGTGGCCAGCATTGTTTTGTTTTCTTTTCTTGATATGGTTTTAAAATAATAGAGCATTTGACAGAAATATGCAATATAGAAACTTTTCACACAAATTCAATATGAAGTTTGCTCTAATTTTCACCAATATTCTAGAGTTTTTTTTAAGACTAATATTATCATGCTTAAAAGGTGAACAAAACTTTAGGGCAGAAATCTTATCAATAACAATGCTATAAGTTTGCTATAAGAGTGGCAATTTCAATGCATTAATTCTCTTAATGATCAAATTAGTTTTAATGAGATTAAAGATACAACAGACTTTCTTATAAGACAACACTGAGTGCATTTCAAAAATCTAGCATTCAACTTTCTCCCTTTCTAAAATAATTATACCTAGAAGAAAGGAAATACTTGAGAAATACATTAAAAATGTATAATCCATGACATGGTTGAGAATGAATACAACATATTTTCATTTTGTTGGAAGCAACTGGATGGCAATTATTTCCATACTTTTACTTACCAATCAAACACAGCACACACAGCATTAGGGAAAACTGCTGTCCTTTTGAAATGTTCATCAAACTCCATGTGATAGACATTTTGTTTAAAAGCTAAATTCTTGCTGTAGTTTCTTGTTGCTTACTCTGTACATTCAATGCCCAGTATTACACAGTCTGCTTTGGAGCGGTCACGTTGAGAATGGGTGTTATATACTAAATTATTGACAGCCCCCTCCCACTCTCTCCACCTCCTTTTAATGACAAATGCATTCAGGAACTGGGATGCATAAAGGGGGTCTTCATATCTGCTGTCCTATAAGTAAGGGGAAATATTTGTAATTGCTAAATGGGTAGCTGTAAAAGCATCAGGAAACAGCAGAAAAACAAAGAATCATGAGGTTTTGAAGCCTTTTTCAGTTTTATACATCCCTTCCTGAAGCATGTTTTCCCCTGGATTCTGGTTCATTTCCTTTGGGATATGAATAGCGCTGTGTGCTTCAATTAAATGTGTGCCTGTTAACCCTCACTCTGCTAAGTCAGTTACAACCTTGAACTCTTGGAACAGCTATGAACAGTGCCTACAGATGTTTGGATTGTAGCTATCAAGTTCAATTTCATGGCATTGAACTGTTATGAGTTTCTGAATTTGAAAAAATATCTTTTATAAAGGTTTCATGATCACAGTTTGTCCTAAAATTATTTTCATCCAATACAGTAATTTTGAAGTGTAGTAAAGGTGGTAATGTAAAAAATACAGGAGCCAAACTGTACACAGAAAGTCCCCACAGACAGTAGTGTGATATTGATCTGATTATCCAGGCTGAATTTTACATCTTTCTGGCAAAGTGTGAGTCATGTTGAATTGTTGGAATGATTCTCGCTTAGCAGGATTTCTCATCGCAACTCACCAAACTCGCTTCATTAACTACCTGCCCTGCCCTTATGGTGTCCCTCATGGTTGATTCTATCTCCATTTTACAACACACCATTCTCAGATCAACCCGCGACTCTGAGGATATCTGCAAAAAGTCCCTTGTGCCCATGCCATCTTTAAAAGCATATGTGCACTCAGACGAACTGTTCTTTTGCATTGGATATGTCAGACAAGAAGAAATGACCACTCCAGCTTGTGGGCAGGATGTAGGAGGTCCTGTTTGTCAGGGTGTCACAGATGCTAGAAGTCCTCGTTCCTCAGGACCAGTAGTGGAGGCCACAACATCAGACCATGCCAATCTTTCCAAAGTTTCACTCAGGTCATTGCAGTCTCAGCTGTCTGGAGGAATGTCAGCAAAAGTACCACCATCTTCTCTCTGATACCTCATTCTTATTCTATCTCTGCTACTGTACCCACTTCCCACCGTTACCACTGTCCTACCATTCTTATTGTTTCCTGCAACATCTTCTCTCATTTGCTTTCACCCACCCCACCGCCAACACCACTAATCCTACATGCCCTCTGCCCTGCCTTCTCACCCGCTCGGGACATCTTTCCGGCTGCACCAGGAGTAACAGCTGTGCCACCCACTTTCATCTCCCTAATACTTACCTCTCTCTCCTTCTGGGATGGAAACAGCCTGCCAATTAAGTAGAAAGACTGAAAAAGGGGGGTGAGCTGCACTACTTTCAGCTCTTCAACCCTTATGTGGGGTGCAACCTGATTCTGACTGCCCAGAACAACTAACTGACCAAGTCCAAGCCTCTGGCCTGGTTTCAGAGGCTGCCCTTGATTTACTGTACTGGGAATACTCTGAGTGAATGCTGCCCACCTTGACTTGTCTGAGGCCTGCTGACAACCATGACAAGCCTCCTGGCTTTGTGTCTGTGCCGAATGGCACATCAAGACAGAAATAATATGAACCTGGTTTCTCTGGATGAGGAGGAAACGTGCAAAAAGGCAAGGCAAGGTAATGCAAAGCAGGGATGCTGTGGTCATCCAGGTAGGCTCAGAGTGAGTGAGCGCAATTACAGTGATTGAAAAGTCTAGAGATGCAGCCTGGTCAAGTCCATGAACTGGATGCGTGTCCCTCAGTGTAGTGTCCTAGCTGCACCATCAGAATGGTAATTGCTGGTGCAGCGTTGAAGTACAGAAGCATACAGTAAGTGGATCAGAGACGTGTCATTATGGTTTCCAAAGGCTGCCATACGTTGGATGCCAATGTCTGTGAACAAGAAGTGCATGCACCATGTCTCAAGACGTTCGTATCTGATAGAGAACATGGAGGTTCAGAAAAAGCAAAAAGCTGAAGTCATCAGATACTTGCTGTGGCTTCCATTTCGAAAATTCTCAATGGCTAGCTAGTTTGACGCAATTGATAAAAAAAAAGAAAGCTGGATATTATAAGCTGATTTATGCCATTAATAAGGTGTTTAACAAGCAAAAGTCCCCCATTAATTGACAACAAGCTGTTACCTAGTGTGAAACTCACCTTGCTGTTCAATAGCTGGATACAAGATCGAGTAAGATCCCAATGTATAGATAAGCCACACCAGAATTCTCACACAATTCTACCACAAATCTCACCATATCAGTCAGGCCTCTATATAATCACACCCTCTGTTTTAGTGATGTTGAAGGATAAATATTGGTTTGGACAGGAGGAGAACTGTTATTCCTTAATAACAAAGATCATTTTTGTCCGCTGGAGAGCATGGATAGGATCTTGATCTTACACAAAATACAGCAACTCTAACTATCGCACTTTTCCAGTATTACACTGGAATTGTCAGCTTAGACTATGTTTGTAAATCCCTAGAGTGTGGCTTGAACCCATAACCTTCTGACCAAAGCTGGTTTTGAGTACAATTACACTCTTGTCACTGGATGTACTCCTTCTTAGCTGGTGGTTTCTTTATTTCCACTTCACAAAATACACAACTTCAAAAATTTGTCTGAGGGCTGATTTAAACCATTTAATCAAATACACATGATGACTCTATCGGCCCAGTCACACAAAAACATTAATGATCAAGGTTTCTCAATTCAGCCCCTGTAATTTATGTTCAGACCACTCCCATTCATCTGAAGAGCAGGAAAATCATGAGCTGCTTGGAATAAAGGTGAACCCCACCTCACCAGAAAATAATTTTAAGTGTGTTATCCATGCATGAAGACTATCATTACAATTAACACTGCTGAAGAAACAGTCCAATTAATATGCCAAATAATCCAACACTTCCAAATGAAATGGAACTGAATATAACAAGAGTTGTCATGTCATCTAAAGTTAGACATGTATATTATTGTTGTAGTAATGCAATAACTTAGCTTGTTTATAAAGAATATAGAAGAATGGCTTATTCACAAGACAATTTAAAGTGATCACAATGCTCATGGACTTCTCAATTCTTAATCACAATATCAAAATATTTCATAATTGAAATGAAAAGACTATTAAATCTCATTGTTTGTCTGCTGCAGTGTGTTATGAAGGGGAGGTTAAAGACCGAACCCCTCTGATAATTAAACATAACTCCCTAATCTGTTACCGTGGGAGTAGAGGTTCCTTTCTAATAATTAAACCCAAAACATCCAGAGAAGCTCGCGTTGCCCCTCATAATCTGTTAAAAGAGTTAAATGAAAGGAATCCCTGATACTCACTTTATAAGTAACCAGTAACAATTTACTTATTTAACCTTAACAGTGAACAAATTAACAAAATTTCTAACAAACTAAACAAATACCCCTTAACTACTAATTATTCCCTAACTGAACTAAATTCTACTGGTGTGCTATTCCAATAAACACAGGTCCCACTTATATAAATCCAATTGATAAGAAAACAATAAATTAAAACTTAGTCTCTCAAAGTCCACACAGAATGTTTTCTCTGGAATGCTCTGCCTTCTCCACGGTCTTTCCAGTCATAGACACCTTTCTTCTGCTGTTCTCGAGTCAGGGATGCTTTCTCTGTGAGGACTCTTAGCTAGAAGTGCCATGGTGGTACCTTTTATGGTTAAATGGTGCTTTCTTAGAGAGCTCAGCGATTTCCTGTATGAGTTAGTTGCTTATTTCTCAGATGGCTATTCGCTCTCACCACTTCAGATGGCAGTTAGCTCTCTGCCAATTTTCAGAATGCTGTCTTTTTTATACCCTTGATGATCTGTCCATTTCTTACACTAGGTTTGGTCCCTGTTTGTCAACACCATCAGACTTAAATTCAGATGGGTTTCAGTTTCTAAGTGCTTGGTTTAAATTAATTGGCTGATTCAAGCTAGTTGCAAAAACATCAAAACAATCCTAAAGTTTTCAATCACACAGTCAATTGATACATGTTTCAGTTTTTAGAACTGACAGTAATATGCAGCTGCATACAGACCCATTTTCTGTATAAATCTTTGAGCTTAGAAAAGCACTTTATCTCTTAAAAGAACCACACACTGTTTCCTTTATCGTTCTTTACAAAAAAATTCTAGCTTCCTGCCTTCCAATTCACAATTACTCTGTAAAACTTCATAAAGACCTCCCCCCTTAAGAAAAAAGTGAACCATCATTATTAAAAGGTGACTTTTTTTTTATCTTAACACCATGATCACGAGATACATAGGTCAGTAATCTAAGGTTACACACTTACTATTAATTCTGCACGCATATTTAACATTAGATTGTACTGGTTCTATTTTATCTACACACTTTCTTTTAAACCTGCGATAATGCATTCACAATAACATTTTTATGATCCACAGCATGTACAATCTATAAATTAAAAGCCTGTAACATAAGACTCCAACAAAATAGTTTTGTATTCTTGTCCTTAAATCTTTCCAAAAGGTGAGAGCGTTGTGGTCCATATACACAACCATCTCCGAAACATTGTAACATAAACATTAAAATACTGTAAGGCCAATAACTCTTTTTCAATGGTGGAGTATTTTCTCTGGTGGATATTGAGTTTCTTTGAAAAATAACCAAATAGCCTTTCAATTCTGCCATCATCCTCCTGTATCAACACAGTTCCAACCCTTACATCACTGGCATCGAGAGTGACTTTAAAAGGGTTCCAAGAAATTTGATGTGGGTAACCCTGCTGTGGTGGTTTACACAACTTTTAAATTCTCAAATGCCTCCTGGCATTATTCTGACCACCAAAATTTCATATTCTTCTTTAGCAAATCCATCAGCCGTGCCACCACACTATTAAAGCTTGGCACAAATTTCTGGTAGAATCCACTCAGTCCCAAAAATCGAAGCACTTCTTTCTTCGAGGATGGTCTTGGAAATTTCTTGATGGCCCTCATCTTCATGTTCCTCGGGATCATTCTTCAATGTCCAATGTTTTGTCCCAAGAACATCACTTCTGCCTTCACGAGTTCAGTTTTTGTTAAATTTATAACCAGTTTTGCCTCCTGTTTTTCAAAGACCTCT